CTTGTTATCATCTGTTACCTCTTCCACTTGAGAGAGTTCTTTGGTGTTCTTTGCTTGTTGGATTTCTAATGTTTCAACTGTCTGAGGAATCTCTCCTGATTGTTGTAGCCCTTTTCTTCCTGTTTCAAATCTCCAAGAAATTTGATGCATCGAATGTGTGGGAGTGCTTAATAGGTTTTTAGGAGGGAGGGGTGGGTGGTGGTGGGGTTCGACATCTGTTTTTTATTAGCAATTCCATGCATGCTGAATCAGGAATGGGAGTTCAGAGTGGAGCAGATGGAAATTTCAAAGTTTCTTGTTCAACACCAGAAAAAAAATCTTTGCCTCCCTAGTAGCTTACCCAGGATATGATGCTAAGCCTCTCGCAACTAGCCAATCTGATCTTTAGCCCCTCAAACACAGAATTTGGAAAACTTAATTCTTTACACTGCTGATCTAAGGTAGTATTACATAGTTTGCACTAATACAGCATCCTCAGACAAATCACTGCTCAACAACTTTATGAATCTTCTCAAATTGTAGGATAGAACCTTCCACGCAAAAAGGGAATTTCTAAGGTTCTTGTTCTGTTTATTCTGCCATTCTCACCGTAGTAACTTCTGTTCTTTTCCTTGCCCCATATTTTTCTTCTTTCACTGTCCAATCAGCTTCTTTATCTCCCCTTGAGGGTTGATTTCAGCTCTCTAATGTTTTAGCTATTCCCATGTCTGCACACACAAGAAAGGGATTTTTTGAAAACTAACCAGACAAGTGACTGGTTCACATTTGAATTTGAATACTTTAAACTGTCATTCTGTTGCAGGGACTGAAACTATTCCATGTTGGCTGTGTTGGCTAAAAGATTATGGGAGCTGGGAGTTGTAGTAAAAAAAGAAAAACCTTTTTCCAAATTTTGCTGTTATAAATAACAGAATAAGATTATTCATCAGTGAACACAAAAAGAAACAAAATCGTAATATGATTTCTTTACATGTGTGTGCATACACACTCGTAAACACTACCCCTAAAGCAAACTCTTTGCTGGACTAACATTAACTTATAAAATGTAGAGGTGATCTTACAAAGACTCTAGGCAGCATATTTCATCATCTTGCCTCCAATGCCCTGCTGTGCCAGCTAAAAAGAATGAGCTCCTGTACAGAACCACACAAGGAAAAAGTGGAGGACAGTTTGAGTTTGCACTTTTAGAGTGAAAAGATAAAAGGCCAATATCTAATGTGTAGGAGAGACAGGAGGAACATCCACACTACACAATTACAACACTGTGATTCCACTTTAACTGTTATGGTTGCATCCCATGGAATTCTGGGGTTTCTGGTTTGCAACCGTCGAGTTCTTTGGCTGAGAATTCTCAGGACAGGCATTCCCCAAGTTACAAACAAGATAGCTTCTGTAGATTTGTTCTTAAGCTGAGTTAGTTTGTAAGTCAGAACAGGTATATTTCTTAAGTGTAACTCCAGTTAATAATGTATAAAATTTAGCTTTGGATAGTGCAAGGAAGGGTTAACACCCCGTGGTGTTTGTTTTGCTGTCTGTTGCCCCTAATCATAATATATGGAAAAAGAAAGAAATTCTAAGAGATAACTCATTTAAAACCGTTTTTCTGTGCATCCTGGGACCTCTCCCTTCATTTTTATGATACCTATAGGTGTTTCCAATTTCTTTTTCTTTTTATAAGAGAGATAACAAGTCTATGATGAACACATGTTAAAAAGGGCAATGATGATAAAATCGCCTTTTAAAATAGTTGGATTTGGAACAAATGGAGCAAATAAAAAAGTAATGCCATATGGGGAAAGCAGCAAATAAAAAAGTAATACCATATGGGGGAAAGCATATTTTGGTCCCCAGTATCTTCCAGACAGGCCCTATATCCCAAGATCTGATTCGAGGTTTTTTGCTTTAAACTAGATTATATGAGTCCACACTATCAGATAATCTGGGATAAAAAAGAAAACCTGGGATCAGATCCTGGGATATAGGACCTGTCTGGAAGGGCCCTAACTATAGTTTAAAATACATACAGTTAAAGTTTGTGTTATACACTATTTAATGTACACATGTGCACACTCAGAAAGACAGACCAAGAAAACAAACATCAAGATGATTTCATGTTGATCTTGTTCTTAATCAATCTGTTTATACATATAGGTTTCATACATATGTATAAGCTAACATATGTAAGAAGCTTATGTCTCTTATATACCCACAACTGACCAAAAAGAAAACGTTTGTGCTTCAGAAAGCCAGGATGTTAGGAAACAAGGCTATGCCATGGGACACTAAAATAGCATCCATTCAACACTCGAAGTGTCATGTAATTCTTCTTCCTTTGAGTAACTTTCAACACCATGCTAGTCATGGGACTTGTCTCAAATAACACTGCCATAGCAAAATACTAGAGGAGACCCATATGCAAGTAAAAAGCATTCACATTCTTTTCCAAAGAAAAAAGAAAAAGAAAAATGATTCACATCACATGGATTTATTTATGCATTTATTCAATTTGTACTTTCCACTAACTTGGCACTCAAAAACAGTAACAGCAATATACTCAATAAAAGAACAACTAAACCAAACTGCACTAAAAAACCCAGCATCAACCATTCACTTTTTTAAAAAAGAAAGCAAAAATAATACAATTATAGTAGCAGTACCAGAAATGCCTTAGTTTTAATTCTTAAATGCTGAGGTGCGCTTTAGGACACCCCCATAACTTAAAACATTATGCAAAGTATTTTACTGCAAGATTTATAACTGCTCAGCAACATTAACTATAATGCATGGGGATAGCTGAAGAATTAGGTCAGAACAAAAATAGTGTCACACAATAAAAGTATAAGACAGTATTAAGATTTGGACATCCAGTCAGGTGTGCATCTGATTTAATACCTAGCAGAGTCATTGCAACTGTTTCATGGGTAGCCAAGTCCATGAGATAGAAAATATGTGTGTAAATAAAGGAATGTTTCAGAAGCCCTTTTGTTTGGAGAGGAGTTATCTGCAGCAGTTAAGAGATATCCAACTTAATGGTAAGTCAACCAGAGTACATCCTTCCATCTGACAAATATTAATGCTCAGGGTTGACAATGCATATTCTCCCTTCAGAACTCTTACACAAAATGTAATCTTAGAAGTAGTGCTTGAATACACACATTGATTTAATGCAATAATATTCTGCCAATTGTGGAACAATTGCTGCCCTGAGTCGTCCCCCCCCGGGGGGGGGGGGGGGTTGAGAAGGGCAGGGTATAAATATTTGAAATAAATTTGAAATAAATAAGCATGTAGAATGTTCTCTATGAACCTTTAATATAAAGATCTTTATGCATAGTAAGTCCTCCATATCCACAAATCCTGGATTCATGGATTCAACCATCCATTGCTTGAAAAACCAATGCTTTATTTTGCCATTTTATATAAGACACAGCATTTTATTATGCCACTGCATATAATGGGATGAGTTTCCATGGATTTGGGTTTCCACATAGGGGTTTTGAAACCAAATGCCTTTTTCTTCCTGTCTTAGAAAATCCTATTTGTGTTTCTATCAGCTTGCGACCAAATAAATGCCATTTGCTCCTTGAGGAGCTGCCCTACATGAAGATACTTGAATGTGAAATCAGTGAAGGACAACATGCTACAGTATAAGTGCTGCAATGAGATGCTACAGTCTTCTCATGGGCTTCATTGTAAACAGTATTTTCAAATAAAAAGAGGAAGTGGCATGGCCTCAGAATGAGGTAGCTTCCTCCTGCCTCCATGGATCTATAATCCCAGCTTCCCAAGGTGTTTGTCTAGAATTTTTCTCTATTATTAATTCATCCCCCATCCATGTACATACAAAGCCACCTTGTTCAGGGTTACTGAATACTGTGAGCTCTTTGAAAGAGCAACTGCCTGGGGTTTCATCCCAGCAAAGTCAGGCAGTCTACTCATGGCAAATACTGAGAGAGAGCAGCAAAGTAACAAAAGCATGCCCTATCTGTCCAAAGTGAGCATGCTCCTTTCCAGAATGATGGAAGACAATGTCTCATTACCATCACGTCTCTGTTTGCCCCAACTCTTTGTCAAACTGGTGAAAAGGTTGTGTGTGTGTATTCTCAGCTCAGCTAAATAGCAAGAATTGAACCAAAGTGGAATCTGGCTTCTAACTAGGTAAGACGATCTTTACCATCTACTCAAAGAACTCTGCAGAAGAAAACTGAAATAATAGCTCATCAGGAGTTGGCATTTTCAGGACAAGCCCTGATTCACATGATTCAAATCTTTCTGCTTTGTCAGATTTGAGGGGTTTTTTATTTCTGGTTTGGAATGTATGCAACTTTTAAAATCAGAATTGGCAACTACGGAAGGACAGGATATTATGCCTTCAAGAGATCTGGAGATTCACACAAATGCTCTTCAGGAGGAGTTTTGCCATTCTTTAAGCTTCCTTGGACCTCAAAAAAGAGACCTTTCACAATAGCAAAAGGTGAATCTTTCAGTTAATATTCTGTTTCAAAAAATACCTTCCCAATACCTGAAATGGCTCACAGGAACAAAAATGTCCCCAAACTCACACAGGGCATTTGAGGCAAAAAAGATGAACAAAAAAGTAAATTTTTAACCCCCACAAGGTCCTGGGAACCAAGAAATCTCCCTGAGGAATGTATGCATTATATGGCCTACATTTTTAAATTAAGGACTTCATTCAATGAGTGCAGCTGTAGAATTATTTCAATATATTTAGCAAAGAGAAATGTACAAGCACTAATTATAAAATATGGTATGATTTTCACCTTTTTAAAAAAAGAACAGATAGCATTACATGCTTTCAATGATTTATCAGTTAGACATAGGCATAAGGGATGTTTTAAGTCACTGTTTCATCATCATTCTGAAATCATTGTAGTTGGCACACCCAATAATTACATTACTTCTTCTTTCCAAAGGAAGGTACAAATTTCACAGCATGTTGCACATAATATGTAACACCCTGAAACCTTTACTGTGCTTACCTGTGGACAATCCTTGATGTAGTGTCCCTTGTTAAAGCACAGATGGCACAAGTAGTTGGGAGGTGGCCTCTTGCTGGGTTTTCTAGCTTCTGATGAGAGAGAGATGTCAGAGAAATGTTCGGTGAGGGAGCTCAAGCCATCTACTATGTTATTCAGGGAGCCATAGGGAGATGCACTTTTGTATAGACTGCTGCTCAAGGCCTGTCAATGAGAAAAGACAAAATAATGGTGATTTCTCAACAATCGCTCCTAGCAATATTTTAAGTTTGAGTCACATCAGAAATGACAATTCTGTTGAGTACATGTTGAAGAGGAAAATTATGGTACAGTATGACTCCCGAATCCATGGGACCCTTATCCACTGTTTCATTTATTCACATCATACCAAATATATATTGTTTAGGCATTTTCTGGGCCCTCCAGCATGACTCTATGGCAATAGTAAAGGTTTTCCCCTGACATTAGGTCCGGTTGCGTCAGACTCTGGGGGTTGGTGCTCATCTCAATTTCTAAGCTGAAGAGCCGGCGTTGTCCGTAGACACCTCCAAGGCAATACTGGGCCAGAAATACCTAATTTCAATACAGTAAACTAATATTCAGGGTTTAGCATATCCAGGATTGCATCCCCCATGGAAACAGGAGCTGTACTGTAATTTTAAAAGTCCAAACTAACCTATACTTTTCTTCATACGGCTATTTATAGGAAGGAAAGTATATGCTTTTGTGAGCTTGCTATGACGGTTAATGTCAGGAAACCAAGGCTGCAACCCAGGTCATACTTCAGAAGTATCTTTGGGGATTTGAGCAGCCAAACAAATGCACAGAATAGGAGTTCTAATCAAGACACATTGCCAACATTCTTTCTAGTTCAGTAGGTTAATTTCTCCCATATCCGAGTACAACATGCAGTATGAGAATAACAAAACAGTTTTCCCTAGTGCTAAGCCGGAAAATGCTTGCCTAAAGTCAATAAATGATATTGGTGAGCAAAATTAGTAATGGATCTATTTTTTGATAAATACTTAGAAGTATCAGAGCATCCCCTCTCCCCAGAATCGATTCTAGGCATAAAACCATTAGGAATATTTTCAGGATCATAAATACAAATTCCAACTAGATCTTTTTTTGCATTGTTTTGTGGTCCACTTAAAAAGACTAATCAAGGTAAAAAGAGGGTTGTTACCTGAAACAACTGTGCTTTTAGCTACTGCTTGAGAGGTAAGCCCTCATTATGTTCAGTGTTTCATAATGTGTTCATGTATCAATAGGAAATATTGTACCTATTGACTCCCTGTATGTCCCATAGCTATTGGAGATGTAGCAAATTAAAAAAATTAATCCCCATGTGCCATTTTAGATATCTTGTTCCACTTTCCCCTGCTTTTCACTTTACTTTTTTTTTTTTTTGGCAACCACATGCCTTTTAAACTGAAGCTGAATGGCCATGTGTTGGGATGCTTAGATTGTAATTTTCCTGCATGACTGGAGGTTGGAATAGATGTGGTCTCTTTCAACTCTAATTCTATGATTCTATGATTCCCTTAAGCATCGAGATATCTTTCTCCTGTTTTGTTAATATTCTTCTAAGCTTTCAAGACTTACTCCACCATGTCCTTCCATATTATATACCTAAGATTATTAGCACTATCTTTGTACAACTTTGCCATCAGTCTGGAAAAACCAATTGTTACATCATCTGCTGTATCTGGCAAGTCTCAAACAGTTGCTTCCTTAACAAACAGAAGCATTTTATGACTCTTTCCACACAAGTCCTTTGGTTGTAAATCTCAAGATAGACTAAGCAAATATACAAACAGGACCAAATTCAAGAAACAGAAAAGCTTATCTGATAGACACAACTCAAGAATTCATATAAATTCATGAATTTATAATTCTTATTTAAAAGGCTCAAATTCAGTCAAAGATTATTTCAGACCACTGCCCAAGAACAATAGAAACTGCAATCCCAAGAAAATAATTTATATGGAAAATTAATGAATGTCCTGTGAAGAATCAAGAAAAGCTTGATAAATGTAAGAAAGAGATTAAAGAATTCCTGCAAATAAATATTCATCCAGAAACATCTCCGAGAATTATATGGGGCATAGGTAAAGTCTGCATGAGACAAAAAAAATCCAACTAAATTCAATATATGGATAGAAAAGACTGCAAATGACTTAAATACAGGAGAAGATTAAAGAAAAAGAAAGACAATTAATACAAGATTTAACAAATGTAAAACTCCAACAAGAGCTGAAACAACTTTTGTCAACAAGCCTCAATGTTAATGGTGCATCAAATGGAAAAAACCCTAAATTTTACAAAGCAAAAATATTTTGTGAATGCAAATAAACTTGGGAAATGGCTGGAAAATAATTCAAAAAGAGAGATGCAAAAGAAAAATATGAATATATTAAAATGAATGAACAAGAAATAAAGGGAGAACAAGAGATCAAACAAATATTCCAAACATACTTTCGAAAACTTTACAAAAAAGAGAAATGTCACAAGAACAAATACAAGAATATCTTCAAAAGTAAAACCTCCCAACTATCTCTGAGGAAGAAACAAATTGTGAAACAACCCAATAACAATGCACAAAGTGATTATGGCAATCAAGGGTTTGAAATTAGAGAAGGCTTCAGGACCAGATGGCTTCACCGCAATCTATTAGCACTAGCTAATGAAACTGCACTACCTCTTCACAAAGTTTTGAATTGAAATAGTAAAAAAGCAGATACCAGAGATGTGTCAAGAAGCAAATATTACATTGATCCTGAAAGAAGATCAGGATCCCCTAAAAGTCGAGAACTATAGACCTATTTCATTGCTAAACACCAATTAGAAATCATTTGCTACAATATTGGCAAACAGATTAAAGAATATAAATGACTGGATACATCAAGATAAAGCAGGCTTCTTACATGGAAGGCAAATTAGAGAAAATATGAGACTCAATTTGATAGAATATTTCCATAAACACAATGAAAAACCAAGGCATTCTCCTTTTCCTTTGGAAAAAACCAAGGCATTCTCCTTTTCCTTTGCAGAAAAAAAATCAAAAATCTAACATGGGAGTTTGGCTCTAAGCTATACTATGAAGATCGAGCTCTAGTTCAGATAAAATAATGGATAACGCTATATAATAAACAATTACTGACACTAAAAGACATGATTTACATAATACATAGATGGCATAGAAACTTCACATATGAAATTGACTCTAATTTTAAGAGCCACCTGCTAGGAAATACATTATACAGAATATGGGAAAAGTACAAATCAAGACTCTACTTAAAAATACCTTTGTGGATATCTATCAAAGACGCCTTCCATTGAACAGACATGGGGGAGATATATGATCAACCTATAAACAGGTATTAATTGGACAACAAAATGAAGCTGATCTAAAAAAAATCCAAGCCAACTACAAGAAGGCATACAACCTTAATAGTTTCAATATAGACAACTACAAGAAAGATTCCAAATAAATGGATGAGAAGATGTGCATTGATTGGAAAGGTAATGAAACATACAATATTGTTCAAGTCTAGAGAAAAAATGCAAAAGCCTATAAAATATTATTACAATTAGACACAGAAGTACATCTAACCAAGATTATATGATTCAATGGTCAAAGAATGTGGGCCATAATATCCACCTAGACAAATGGGAACAGTTGTGGAAAATAAATATTAATTTTACAAAACATTATGAACTAAGATTATGTTTAGATGGTACATGACACCAGAAAGATTAGTGAAGATGGAACCAAAAATTTAAAAATGTTTGTTGGAAATGTCATAAAAAGAAGGAACTTTTAGCCATATGTAGTGGACATGCCCTAAAGCATATATATATATATATATATATATATATATATATATATGTATATGTATATGTTTATGTATGTGTGTGTGTGTGTGTGTGTGTGTATATATATATATATATATATATATATATATATATATATATACACCATCAGAGTCAGAAGCTTTTCTGTTGGGGCTTACAAATTTAACACTATCAAAAAAATTCTGATGCTCTTTTTATACATGGTGACTGCAGCAAGGATTGTTTATGCTTAATATTGAAAAAAAAAACAAGAAATTCCCACCCAAGATTTATGGATTACAAAAATATTTGACATGACATCGAATTGTGCCTTTTTGTAAGCCGCCCTGAGTCCCCCCTCGGGGGTTGAGAAGGGCGGGGTAAAAGTGCCCAAAATAAATAAAATAAATGACAGAGATGGACAAACTGACTAGGCTTATACAACTGCCAGATCCCTCCAAATTCAAAGAAGAATGGCAGCCCTTTTTGACTATTTTAAAGAAAAGAAAATGAAAATATTGAGTTTTATATAGCATCAAGGGAAATTAGTAGTACAGGGATGTAGGAATAACAAGAAAATAAAAAAACAGAGAAGTTACTGACAATTGGGATCTTCAATGATAGCCAAGGGATCCTAGAAAGTGAATTTACCAGAGATGAGAAGTTTTATGACAAAAACAATAGTTTTTTTATTATGAAGAAGACAGCAAAGAAAGGATAGGAAGCATTAGGGCTTCCTATTTTCCATTTTTTAACTTTTCTATCTTCTTTGTTTCCAAACACTGTACACTTGTTTTTTATCCTTCTGCTTTAGATTAGAAAACAAATGGTGTTTTTCTATTTTGTTTTTTAACATCATAGAAACCTTTTTGTATTAGATAAAAATGGAAGAAGATGAAGATGCAAGATGTTTAAAATGCCCCTGTTCTATTTCCACTATGGTATCCTTCCCCATTCCTCAGATATTTGCAATAAAAAATATATGGGAGGAAAAAGAAACAGAAAAGCAATCACATAGATTTAAAGTGACTAAAGAGTTACTTTCTGTCATCTCCCACAATCACTGTGAGATTAGAGAACATGAATAGAAAATGTCAAAGAATCTCTCTTGCACATACGCATTCTTGGTATCCAAGGATATTCTGAAAGGGTAATTTTAAAACCTGGAAAAATAAATAACAAGAAAAATCCAAGAGTAATTGTTCATTTGTGACTGGTTAAAGAGGCCCTAAACACAGTGTTCTGGGTTTTACAGTCAAATAGTAACAAGGAGAACTCAGATCTACATCTGTCTTAGATTTTTCTCTGGGAAGCCTGCTGTGATTTAACTATTCCCTGATGAATGCTCTTGTTGTCTTTCACCTCCT